CTTATTCATCCAACTTCAGAATTGGATTCAAATAAACTTCAAAGGTTTATTTCAAAACTTTCAAGATTATCACCTTTCTACACTGCTACTTTTGAGGGAATTTCCTGGTCCAGACATTAGAGAAAAAAGAAGATAGGAAAAAAATTCTGTTTCTATTCAGTCAAGCTATAACTGAAAACCTGCTGCTTACATGTACTCAGAAGTGAACACTTTGAATTTAACAGATGATGTCTCCTTACACTTGATCCATCGGATCTGAGCAGGACTTTTCCACCACTTTCAGCTCTTTATTATGGTCAGCTGCTCCAGGAATAATAATTGAAACTTGAGGGAGGCGAGTTGAGAACTGAATGGGGAACAAAAGGCAGGACTGAGATCAGAGAGGGAAAAGAGGGGGATTAACTTGGGGGGGTGGTTGGCAAATTAAAGGGGAGCTTAAGAAGTGATAAGGAAGCACAATGGAGACAGAAAACTGTGGGAATGGCTGAGAAAAAGGTGGTGAGTGATGGGAAAAATCATCACATTGCAAAAAAGATGTGAGAAGGTGAATGTAGGGGATTGGAGAGGATGGTGTTAGAGGGAGAAAAAAGAGCCAGAGGGTTAAAGCCACCCAAAACTATCACTGTATTGTTATCCAAGTAATTTTTAACATTATAATAACATGCAATAGACCACAAGTATGTTTGTATTCTATATTTGAGACATTTACTTTTGCTGCTGGAAACCCTATCTCAAATTGTGTAGATTCAGAGCTCCAAAACACGACCCCTTACTTTGTTTTGAACACTAATAGTACAAGGCTAACTGCTTTCCAAACTCAGGTCCTAGGTATGCTGAAATGAGATTTTTTTTCCTATCACTCACTCTTCTGGGACTGGTGTGACACTGCTGAAATGTTACTGAGTGGCAAAGGGAAAGAACACCTCCCACACTGAGCTGGTTTGGCCACACAAAGGTGCCACTTCTGAGTGCCACAGATCACTGCCACTGATCACAAATCTGAACTGCTCCTTGGAGAACACAGACCAGACACTTCTACAGCATTTATCAGCTTTGAAAGCCAGAATGAGCCATACAATTATCTTGCTTTCCTTTCCACTCAACACAAGCCATAGTGAGACCCCAAAGTCTGGGTAAATGCATTTATAGCCACATATGTGCTGATGAGGTGACAACCTCCTAAAGTATAGAGAAATCCTGTGACTGTGGACCAGGGACTGTACAAAACACCTCAAAAGACAAAGACATTCATTTCTATGGCTTAAAAAAATGCTTTATGGCTTGAAAGACAAATCTTATACAAACTTCCCAACATATTACACCTGTGAAATCCTAGAGATGGTGTCTGAGAGGTTTTTCTAGATGAAATGATGGTTACCTTTTGAACGTTTACAATGAAAATAATTACAATAATTTAACAACTCAGAAGTACAGGGATAAAATTGGAGGAACTGTTTCTGTGGAATAATGAAACACTTTCTCTGTGAGGGTGGCACAGATTGTCCAGAGAGGTTGAGGAATCTCCATCCCTGGAAGGCATTTACAGTAACCTGAGCACAGCCCCTCCTGGGGGGCTGTTTTTAGGTGACCCTGCTTGTGCAGGAGGGATGGAATAAATGACCTCCAGTGGTCCCTTCTGCAATACCTGAGATTTAACCTTTCCCTTCCTACTGTTGCAAGAACTGAGGTCACCTGCAGTGCCTCCTTTCACATCTCTAGACTGAAACACTTTCCTAAAAGGGAAGGGAGGCAATGCAAAGAGTTTGCTAATTTTCTCACATAATTATTTACATCTATGTTTCTCTAGATGTATCATATCACCACAAGTAAATTAATATTTGCACAAGCTTTTGAAGATATAAGGCATTTGTGTGCTTGCATATTCACACAGCTACTATTTTTCTTGGATGATAAAAACAATTCACTGCCTTTTTTAAGGTTAGTACTCAAAATCCAGCTCCCATGTACTTTTTATTCATCTGCCTTGATTGTGCTTTAGCTTTTTTTATGGACTCTTTAAAATACATACTAATAAAACCTTATTGGCTTTTTATTATCATCTGTCTCAACATACAAATATTGCAGGCTGCAGGGATTTTCTGGTCACTGTGAGCATGACTCTAGATTAAGGAGCAATCAATGCATTTGTTATACTGTCTCTGGCAGTTGATGCTGCTGAAAAACTGACACATTTTTAGTATCATTCGGGCAATTTGCAAATGTATTTCTGCCTTTAAGGGTGCTCTGTTTATTCCAGTACAACACAGGAATGAAGTCAATCTGGGTAAGCTGCTATGATTTACCAACACCTTCCTTTAGATGATGTTCCACAGCTGTTTGGGCAAAAACTCCATGTTAGAAGCTCACCAGATACTTAGGACCTTAACTTGCTGTAAATTCCTTGAAGTCAATATGTAGGATTTAAAAATCAATGGAAGGATATTGCTCAAAAGTGCTTTTTTTCAAAGCTCTAATGGTACAAATATTATCATTGGGCACTCACTTATATATAATATCTGAACATTGAAATAAAAGCCTTCAAAAGATCTACAAGTGTGAGATGACATTGAAATCAATGCATTTAGGTCCCTAAATAGCTCATCTGATTCATCTCACCAACAAGAACATCTGATTGTGTCTAGAATAGACAGACATTTACAAAAGCACTGCTTTTCTAGCAGAGTGCTTTAAGTCTGTTAGTTTAGAAGTGGTTACAGGAGGACATTAGTGAGAAAACAAGATAAATATTTTATTTTGGAATTACAGGGTTGAGAAATCATCCATGAGAGATATTGCTTCCACCAGATTTCACTGATTTTGCTGAGTACACTTTGGTTGCATTAGAGGTGGGTGTGGTGGAACATTCTAAGGTTGAGGAAACAGTTATTAAATTCACCTGGCAGAGTTAACAAAAGTGTTAAACTCTCTTTTGGTCTCCTAACCTGACCCTTTATCACTGAATCTCATGGAAGGCTCCACAATGAGGCAGCACTCTATAAAGAAATTATGTCGCTTAATGAGCTGTTAGAAGAGTGGTCCATGTCACAAATACAATTCAACTGTAACATGCACAGTACATCCCCAAGTCCCCCAAAAAAACATACAATTAAAATGTGCATATTCCAACCATTTCAATCTTACAATAATAAAAACGACGCAGACAAGGGGTGAACCTACATCACAAACAACATTACTCTCCAGAAGTCAAATTCTCTCTGCACTAAACAGAACTGGTGCCAGCATTAGCAAAAGAATAATCATCAATTTTTGCTGATCAGATGCCAAGGAAAGCTAGGAGATAATGATGAGTCCAAGCAGTCCCACTGACTGGTGCTGAACAAATTCCCACTGCAGAGGCTGCTGTACAACTGCACAGCTCTGCCTCTGCTCAACCATAACTCATGAAGAGATGTAACAACAGCACAGCTGTGTGTACCCAGTCCTGGGCCATTGCTTGGAGAGACCCCTTTGTAAGGACTTTGGAAACAGAAACCCAGATCTGTAAACAGCTCATTTCTTGCTATGTGAACTTTAAAAAATTTTTATCAAATTGTGCACTCAGAAATTTTCCTGAAGGCAATTTTTAAACATTAATACAGACACTTTTTCCATTTTTATTCCAACCTGAAATGTTCCTGTAATGTTTACATGGCAAACTGGATAACAATACATTTTACATTTCCATCAAATAAATTATATTTAAATTCTAAGTATCTATATAAAATTAATTATTTAAGCTCTAAACCTAGAATCATTTGAGACTGTGAAGCCCAAATAGGGCTTAACAATTTCAACTCTTTATATTATTAAGACCCGGAGTTCTCAAATCGGTATAGCATCCCCTCAGAGGACACTGAACTTCTTGATCCTTTCACACACAGATTACTTTGGTCAACAGGCAATGGTGCGATTAGAGCCTTCTACCAATGGAAAAGCAGATTTGCATTTTAGCTCTGCAATGTGCTTCACCAGCTCGTGCCTCCACACTTGACTTCCTGGGGAATGGATGGATGTTTTCCTTGTGCTTTTCTGACAATGACCCAGGTCCTAGATGTGAGGCCTGATGGAACAATCCAGCCTGGAAAAGTGGATGGTGTGGCCAAGAGTGATGGAATCCCAAAACTTTTCCCAGGACTTGGAGGTCTTGCTTTTATTTACAGCTCTCTGGAAGTTTATAGACCTTGAAGTGGGATTTTTTGGTAATGTTCAGTGAAAATTTTTAAGGCCTCCAGCCTTATAAAGACTAGGCAATTCTTTCATTTAACATAAACATTCAAAGCATTTTTGTGCAAGTGTAATTACCGATTCACACTTTTCAAATCATTTGAAATCATCACAAAAATTTCCTCTCCAAGAAACATCAGAGAAAACAACTCTTTATTTTCATACAGAAATGGAAGAATCGAAGTTTATCTGTATTGCCAGAACTGAGGTATTTATTGTTCCACAGGAGTAAAGGTGTTGCATTGCACCCTTAAAGGTGCTCTGCGCATTTCCACTCTGGTGCTGGATACCCAAGGAAACACCACATCCTTCCTTACTCTGAATGGAGTAAGGAAGAAGATGAGCTTGCTGAAAACATTAAGAAACTTGAGTCATGTTTTTCTGACAGAGGACATCTCCCCTAGCTGCACATCTGGGGTGTTTCAGAACCAGGGCTTCAGCACACTGCAGGACGTGCTCGGTACTTCGCATGATTGAGCTCTTAGTCATAAAAACATATTTTACATACAAAAATACAGCAGATGTCCTTCCAAAAAATCATCTCTGAAGTGTTACTCCCTCTCTTTAGGTTTTATACATTCAGGAACAGGCATTTGGAATATATTGTGAACAGTGCAAAATACTGTTTTACATTTCTTAACCGACGTGTTGCAGTACCTTTAAGCGCCAGCTGAAGGAAAGGCTGAGAAAGGTTTGATCCTCAGAGCAATTCTGGTCCAAGTTGAACTTTTGTTTAGAAAGTTGTAAACAAATGTCTTAGAATGCAGAGAATCCTCTCATTTCTTTCCAGCTAAGGCAGTCTCAAACACATCAAGTCCTGCTTTGAAGTAAACCTGAGCTGAATTGATGCTGTTCAGCACCTCTGACAAAGCTGCCTGAACGGTCTCATTTGACTGATGTAGTTTGCAGTGCTCCAGTGCCTCCAGCAGCACTGAAAACTGGCTGGTCCTGTCATCCAGTCTGTAAAGAATATTTCTGAAAGAGAACAATGGAGAGAATGGTAAGATTTTTACTCAAAAATAATCCATCAGATGCCATCAAGAAACCCTGCAAGTATCAGCCACAGCTTACAGATGATACATTTTATGCACAGTAAAGCTGACCCATGGCAGATTGAGAGACAAATGCATATTTATTATGCCTCTATAAACTGAATTTATTCACTAAACTACATGTACTTACATTGGAGCAGTTACTAAATCCATCAAAGAAGTCTCACATTCCCCTCTGACCATTCAAGCTTTTATTCAAAAGCATAAACCTACACCTATCACACCCCTCATGAAGGATTTTGTCTCTCAGATGAATTCCATTTATTCCCCTCTAAAAAAGTTTGGTTACTGCTGTGAACCCTCAGCACAGATTTGGTTTTGTTTTTGTTTTTCCTATCTGCTCACATTATTTATTTCACTCTTCAGAGGTGAACTTCCAGCTGCATGGATGCCAATGGTAAAACTCTCCTTGCCTTCAGCAGAGACTTTATTTCATCAAGAATTCTTTGTGGTTTCAGAACAAGAGTAACCCATCTTTAATGTCCCATACTAGAGGAAAGAAACAACACACACAGCTAAACCCTTGTGAAACAAAACCTGTGTTTCCCAGTCATATCTGCAAAAAATTTTAATGGTTTGTAGAAAAACAGATGCAAGAGTATGGTGTGATCCCTTGGAAATGTTATTTGTATGAGGTGGGGAAGGCTCAGAATTCAAAGCTAGTCAGTGATTTTAATGGGACTCTTTGAAGCAGGCTATAAATGTTATCCAAAACCAGGTGTAATCATTACACTAATTAGAAGAGCACATAAACATCATAAACCTCCACCCAGGAGCTCCTTTGATTGCAAACAGAAGTGAATGAAATTTGAAACAGGAGAGCTACAGTGATTTGGTGCAGGACCTTCTCCTTAAATACAGGATAGGTGTTCAGGGCAGGGGAGAAGCTGTGTGGAGAACCCAGCAAGAAACAGGACAGCTCCCACACTTTGTTAGTAACCTAATGGCATGACAGAACAGGCCAAATGGCAGCTCCAAATTAGTAATAAAACTGCCAAGTTTATTTACAGAAGACAGATGAACACAGAAGTGCATCTTATTCTATGAATCACCCAAGTGCAACTCTGCCTGGGGGAAAGGTAACAAAGTAGACCAGTAAATGACACCACAGAACGCCCACCATCTTTTGCTATGTTTTCCAGCTTTAAAAAATGTTTAGAATTAGAATAGAGAGGTCATTTTTTTCAAAGACATGAAATAACTCCTGTCCTCACGAGGCAATCTTTCACTCTATGTTTTTACCCCCCAATATTGGGTGTACATCCAAAGCCAGCAGTGTGCAGAAGGAATGATGAGTTTTTCCTCCCCTGACAGCAATACATCCAGACAGTTCAAGGGGTCTGCAATGCAACGCATTGGAACTCTAAACAGAGAAGGGAAAGGGTTGGAATTGAACCCTGCAGCAGCAGGACAGTTTAAACAATAGGCCATCACTACCATAGACCATTTAGACAGAAACAGGTTAGGAGTATGTGCAAGAACAGCTCAGTGGGGACAGAAAGCCCCATCAAGAGGGCAGAAACAGGCAGATGTGGCAACAGCTTCCTCAGCTTGCACTGCAGCAGCTGCAGGACAACTCCCTTAGCTTGAGCTGATGCCTCTGTTCTGTCTGTGGTGCAGCTCACACCCTAAGGTGACTGTCCCAAAGCAGCCTCTGTGACACAGTAAAGGAAAACTGTGTATGTTGAGAGCCAGATAAATTCTTGGTTGGTCGGTTTTTAAGGATAGGCTGTGCTATGGGAAATACTGCATTTTTCAAAGCAGGGATTGAGTTTGCTCCCTCAGTTCAGGGACTCCTGCTGAGATCAGTGCAAGCAGAGCCAGGCTTTTGAAGAACTCTCCTCTATAGTTCCTGGAGTTCACAGGGAGAAAGAAGGCAGCTCACAGCCCCTCAAACACCTCCAACAGCAAGGACAGTGCTAATCACATTTCTTTCTACCCTCAGGGGAGATCTGTTTGCTGGTGGCTGGGAGAGTTTGACTGAGCTGGAATTCTACTCCAAATGCCTGCAATACTGGTGCCCTAACCCCGGTTAGGATGCCTCTATTCCTTTAGGTCAACTTATAAAAACATCATAAGACAGCAACCATCAGCAGAGCAACACTGACTCAGAGTGCCAGAAATTACTCTAAAGAGAGAATGGTCTGGCCATTGGAACATTTGGGACTGCTGAGACAATGTTTGTGGTGAATAGGAACAGACCTCATGTCCCATCATCAAATGGGCTCTAAACAAGGCACACAAGCTAATAAAGATGGTTTAGCCTGAGATGCAAGGGTGTTCACACAGTTTAAATCTACTGCTGTGATTTTGGAATCACTGGTGATTCTACAGTAAATACACAGGCATGTGATCCAAGTAAAAACAAGAACTGGTATCTCACCCCACCTGAATGCAGGGCAAATTACAGTCTGATGAGAGCTTAGTTGTTTGATGAATGAGACAAGCAGTCTACTGCCATAATTTTAAAATAATATCTTAACTTCTGAAACAGTAATATGACTGCAGAATAGCTGATTACATAGTACAACAGAACCTCATTTATATTTTTATGCATGCAAATACTAATAAGTAACATAATACAGCACCTGTTTTTTTCAACTTTTCTGCTAGGAGTTCTCACTGGGATCTTGCATTTTCCAATTACTTATCTGTGCTTGGCAAGCCATGCCACCCCTTTGTTGCACAAAATGATTTCTCTCTTTATGCATGTTCATGAGAGCCAATTTATACAAGTTCACTTCTTACCTCTGTTGAAGCTTCATCAAATGAAAAAAATGGTCAGTTCAGTTTATTACTTCCAAGCCTTTACAAGTCAGAACAGCGTTTTCATTAAAGATTACACACGGACTGAAAAACAAACCCCAGCCATTTCATTGACACAAGGTATCACCATGTGCCCACAACATGCAGAATGATAGCAAGAGACTTTAATTTACACTGTGAAATTCAATTACTTAAACATTCCTCAACACAAATTGGTTTTGTAGCCTACACCTCTAAAACAACAATTTCAGCCTCTGACCTAATTGCTTAAGTATCTACCTTCATCTTTAACTATTTAATCTTATGAATAAAATTCACACAGTCAGCCTGACCCCCACAAAACAAAAAGACACTCCTAAACAGAAAACTGCTATAAATTATTGATGATGCTGATGAAATTACAACACACATCATTCACCCCAATGGGCTTGTTTCTATGACACATCCCAGCGACCTGAAAAGTGGAACACTGAGGTAGCAAACCCAATTAATAACTTCAGGCAGTAGCACTGAAAGAGATAAAAGGGCTACAAACAAATAAAAATCAGCCTTAGCAAAGTAAAGAAACTATAAAGAGAGCCTCTACTACAACTTCTATAAATCCTTAGCAGGCCTAGGAACAGAAGCATTCCTGATCAACATAATGCCATTAAATGCTGTTCTGCATAACCACAAATAAGGAGGTACTGTCACACCCACCAGACCAGAAGGAATTTGACAAATTTTTGAATGACAGATCACACTAGAAATATATTGACTTTAACACAACTTCAATATTAGAGCAACTGGACAGTACAAGATGAAACAAGATCAGCACATTACTCTTGTCACGAAAAACGATTTTTTAGCTTACAAGAAAATTTTGTCTGTAGGTAATGTACAACACAAGATGAATTATTCAGGCACTTACAAACAGACTCCCATCTAACAGCCCACGTTGGAGATTTTGAAAAGTAATTATTAAATCATTAGGACATGATGGTAAGTCCAGTGTCCCACATGAAATGAGTGCGGGTTTTCTCGGCGGAATCACAGTAAAATTGTTTAGAGATAAATGCTGTGGGCAGCCTCTGTCTGTTCCAGTTATAACACAATGTGTTATGACTTCAGCATCCTCACAAACTCAATTTTGTAATTCCCTGATTTGTTTTTTCTTGTACACTCCAGGGAAAAAAAAGAAAAGAAAAGCACACCAGAACAAGGATTCTCTGAATTTCCCTTTCTCCTGATCCTGTTCAATTTTGAATGCACTTTTCTTACATTTAGGAGTCTGTTTTCATTCATGTTTCTAAGACATAAAATATGATTACTTTGGTAAATAAGTAAATGGACTCTCATAACAATATTTACATGTTGGGACTTCCATACAGTGGTTATTCACTGTAGGACATAAAAATATCACAAGATCTTCTCTGGAAACAGCACAAGAAGATTTATACTGGTTTATTTATACAAATTTGCACCTCAGAAAATTTTGCAGTGAACATGCAGAATGTTTCCTTCCTTCCTCTGGGATCCTTATCTTTTGATCTCCAATGGCTGTTCTCCTTTCCTCTCTTGTTTTTTAAATCTTTTTGACACCCACGTGCAGTTTTGTTATCTTACCTGTTTTATTTCACAGCAGCATTGTGGCAGAAGGTTTATAATGATAAAATTATTGCTGCTGGCCATGTAAGATTAGCTTTTATCAGGAGGAGATACATACCCTGGTGAAGTGTCATTACGTGTCATTAGAGCTGATCCAGAGGAACCCCTTTTTTCCTACAATGCTCATTCCCTGCTGGAAGTCTCTGGGGCCATGGGATGGAACAACACACACATGGCCAGGGAAGATGGGGATGTGGCACCCAACTCTGCTGTAAATATCACCACTCCTTCACTGCCCTAAGTCCCCACAAGCCCAACATGTCATTTTCAAGTTTGTAATTCAAGTTTCATAATGTTTGTAATTACTTGTTCCTAACTTTTGTTTCCTACACATCCTCTCCTTTTTCAGAGCCATCAGCTGCCTTCCCTTAGTGCTCTCCTTACAGGCTGCAAATGGTTCCACCAATCTATATTGCAGAAAGTGCAATATTTATATCTATATTTAAAACCATGAACACTCGGAGGTGAGTGTCTGCCTGAAAGGGATGCATCTGCATGTTATCAGCAGCT